ACTATGCGAGCGCATTTGTTTGTCACAAATCACAAATCCCGAATAATCCCTTGCACAAGAACTTGACAAAGTCCACACGCGCGCGGTTTCATGCCGAACTACTTCAAATACCTTAGGTTTTGTTCGGATTTTCAGATCGAGGTTCCCGAACACATATGAAACAAAACCATTAATATTGCAACATGGCTCTTCAAATTAGCCTGGCGAAGGACCCAACCATATGCAGCTGCGAGTACCGCGCGGATATGAGACGAAGGAGGGGGCACGCAAACTAGGCCCCTCTTCTCATAGGCGCCGCGCCACTGGGGCCTTCTGTGGAGCTCCCTATGGGGCCACGAAACGTGTGAGGGGTGTGCCGAAATGGGTGGTGGGGAGGCATGCGACCCCTGCCACTGGGGCCTTCGGTGGAGCTCCCTATGGGTCCACGAAACGTATGAGGGGTGTGCCGAGATGGGTTGTGGGGAGGCATGTGCGCCCTGCCACTGGGGCCTTCGGTGGAGCTCCCTATGGGGCCACGACACGTGTGAGGGGTGTGCCGAAATTGGTGGTGGGGAGGCATGCGAACCCTGCCACTTGGGCCTTCGGTGGAGCTCCCTATGGGGCCACGAAACGTGTGAGGGTTGTGCCGAAATGGGTGGTGGGGAGGCATGCGAACCCTGCCACTGGGGCCTTCGGTGGAACTCCCGATGGGGCCACGAAGCGTGTGAAGGGTGTGCCGAAATGGGTGGTGGGGAGGCATGCGAACCGTGCCACTGGGGCCTTCGGTGGAGCCCCCTATGGGGCCACGAAACGTGTGAGTGGTGTGCCGAAATGTGTGGTGGGGAGGCATGCGAACCCTGCCACTGGGGCCTTCGGTGGAGCTCCCTATGGGGCCACGAAACGTGTGAGGGGTGTGCCGAAATGAGGTGGTGGGGAGGCATGCGAACCCTGCCACTGGGGCCTTCGGTGGAGCTCCCTATGGGGCCACGAAACGTGTGAGGGGTGTGCCGAAATGGGTGGTGGGGGGCATGCGGATGCCACTGGGGCCTTCGGTGAGCCCCCTATGGGGCCACGCGCGTGAGGGTGTGCCGAGATGGGTTGTGGGAGGCATGCGAACCCTGCCACTGGGGCCTTCGGTGGAGCTCCCTATGGGGCCACGAAACGTGTGAGGGGTGTGCCGAAATGGGTGGTGGGGAGGCATGCGAACCCTGCCACTGGGGCCTTCGGTGGAGCTCCCTATGGGGCCACGAAACGTGTGAGGGGTGTGCCGAAATGGGTGGTGGGGGGGCATGCGAACCCTGCCACTGGGGCCTTCGGTGGAGCTCCCTATGGGGCCACGAAACGTGTGAGGGGTGTGCCGAAATGGGTGGTGGGGAGGCATGCGAACCCTGCCACTGGGGCCTTCGGTGGAGCTCCCTATGGGGCCACGAAACGTGTGAGGGGTGTGCCGAGATGGGTGGTGGGGAGGCATGCGAACCCTGCCACTGGGGCCTTCGGTGGAGCTCCCTATGGGGCCACGAAACGTGTGAGGGGTGTGCCGAAATGGGTGGTGGGGAGGCATGCGAACCCTGCCACTGGGGCCTTCGGTGGAGCTCCCTATGGGGCCACGAAACGTGTGAGGGGTGTGCCGAAATGGGTGGTGGGGAGGCATGCGAACCCTGCCACTGGGGCCTTCGGTGGAGCTCCCTATGGGGCCACGAAACGTGTGAGGGGTGTGCCGAAATGGTGGTGGGGGGGCATGCGAACCCTGCCACTGGGGCCTTCGGTGGAGCTCCCTATGGGGCCACGAAGCGTGTGAGGGGTGTGCCGAAATGTGGTGGGGAGGCATGCGAACCCTGCCACTGGGGCCTTCGGTGGAGCTCCCTATGGGGCCACGAAACGTGTGAGCGGTGTGCCGAAATGGGTGGTGGGGGGGCATGCGAACCCTGCCACTGGGGCCTTCGGTGGAGTTCCCTATGGGGCCACGAAACGTGTGAGGGGTGTGCCGACATGAGTGGTGGGGAGGCATGCGAACCCTGCCACTGGAGCCTTCTGTGGAGCTCCCTATGGGGCCACGAAGCGTGTGAGGGTTGTGCCGAAATGGGTGGTGGGGAGGCATGCGAACCCTGGAGGGAGGAGGGCGAGAAGGAGGAGGAGGAGGAGGAGGAGAGGAACGCGGGGCACCGTCTGTTCAAAACGAGGACCCAACACCACAGGATGGTTGGGAAAAATATGAGCGCGTGCTCCTGCTAATTCTTACGAGAACCATCGGTTTTCAACATTGGAGGAAACGCGTTTCACGGGCGCTTGCCTTAGGGAACGTTCGGCGGCGCGTTTGGACCGGGGTGGGGGTGGCAGCATTCGGCGCCATCCAACAGAACCTTCCGGATTCCCCCCCACCCTCCCCCACCCTCCCCGAACCCCCCCCCTTCCAGTGGCAGCCCCGGCGCGCCAGCGCTGGCGGCGGCGGCGGCGGCGGCTGGCAGCGCCGACGCCAACACCCATGCCCACACCCACACCCACGCCCACAACCACGCCCACGCCCACACCCACGCCCAGGCAGGCCCACACCCACGCACGCGCCCACGCCCACGCCAATGCTCACACGCACGCCCGCGCCCACACCCGCGCCCACGTTGACGCCCACACCCACGCCCTCGCCCACGCCCACTCCCACGTTCACGCCCGCGCCCACGCCCACGCCCACCACCACGCCCACGCCCACGCCCACGCCCACGGCCGCGCCCACACCCACGCCCACTCCCGCGCCCACGCCCAGGCCCGTGCCCAGGCCCACGCCCACGCCCACGACGGCGACGGCGCGGGCCCGAAGGGGGGACGTTCGAACCTCCCCCTTTGAACCGGGGGGGGCGGTTCCAGCCCACGGAACGTGCTCGAGGCCACGCCCTGCGCACCCATTTTGGTGTAGAGAAAGTGCCACGCCTGCCACGCTTTCCGACCCTGGCACGCACAGGGGCCGCACTGAGGGAACACCCCTGCGCACCCCTTCTGGTGTAGAAACAGTGCCACGCCTGCCACGCTTTCCGACCCTGGCACATAGAGGCCGCGCTGAGGGACCCCCCCCCTGCGCACCCCTGGTAGTGTCGAGAAAACGCTAACGGAACGCGCTCGTTCCAACATTGTTATCACAGGCGATCAGGTGGGATTCTCGCGCGCGCGCATGCCGAAAGCATTGGAACGCCCGTGCGCGCTTGCTGAGGGGGAACGATCCCTGTCGAATCAAACAATGCAGGCCGCTCGCGCCCGTCGGCCGCGCGCACGTCGAAATCCTTACAAAAACGTTCATCACCGACACGTGTGCACCATCATCGTCATCGGCGTGATCAGCATCGGCGCCGTAATTGGCCTCGCTGTCGTCATCGTCATCATCGTTACCAGCATCGCCACTATCTCATCGTGTCTGCCGTTGTCGATGTCACCATGATATTGCGCCCGCTCGGGTCACTGGCTCGCAGTGAAGTGCCCGCAAGTCAACGCGGCCTACGAAACGCGCTGGGGCGCTCCAAACGGCCAGCGCCACCGCGGCCGCGTCGGTCGCGCCAGACTAGCTGGCCGCTGTGCGCGCGAGCCTGCGCGCTAGCGCGGTCGCAGCGATGCGCCAGCCAGCGCCAAGCAGTCACCGCCATCGACGCCGCATGGGTTTTGCAAACCAAGTTATGGGTGGGTGGGCGGGATGATTGCGCGAGCTGTGGAGTTGACAGTTTACTTGAACAAAAATGTGTTGCACACATGGATCGCCCCACCTACATTGCACAACATATACGGCCAGAAGCGCACTGCTTGGGGCCCGTGCTGGCGAACATCTGTCAAGGCACAGTCTTGCAACCTCACTCTTGCGGCAACCTCGCAGGGTGTATTCCGATCCGATCGATGCCGTTCGATGGCGACTTCGGCCAGTTCGGTCTGATTCGATTCTGGCAGTCCGACGGTCCGGTGTGGCCCGTGATTTGCATGGCGTTGTTGTGAGTCTCGACGTTGATGTTTCGAACCGAATTCGATTCCATGCTGCTGCAGACCGATTCGATGCACGTTCCGCTCCGATCCGATTTCAAGCCTGCGTGCCGATTGATCTTGCCTCCTCCCGCCACCCTCCTCTTGTTGTTTCTGCTCCTGCCCGATCGTGGCGGTTTGTGTGTGTGTGCGTGTTGCGTGTGTGTGTGTGTGTGCGTGTGTGCGTGTGTGCGTGTGCGCGTGTGTGCGTGTGTGCATGTGTGTGTGTGCGTATGTGTGCGTATGTGGGAGAGAGAGAGAGAGAGAATCTGTGTTTGTGTGTGTGTGTGTGTCCTGTGCCCCTGTGTCCGTCCGCCCCTCGGCTTCCTGCACTGGCGCGCTCAGCCTCGCACCAGCTGTCCTCCCCGACCCCCGCCCCTGTCGCAGCCGCGTGCTGCCGCCCTGGCCCCGGCCGTCCTTCCGCCGGTGGTCGTACAGTAGGGGTCCTGAAGAAGGAACCCTTTTCGTTGGGGAGGGGCTCCGCGTTCCTTAAGTGTTTCACAGCTTGCCTCAGGTTTTCCTTATGTCTCCGATATGAAATCGAAGTTTAACTTATGGAACAAAGGGGCCTCGTTCCTTATTTAGGGTTCCTTAGGTCAACGCCCCGACTGTAGTGCGCTCCGGCTTCTGGGGTTTTCGCCTTTCCCACCCGCTGCACCCTCGCTGCCCATGCCCAGGTATGCCGATGGCTGGTCGACCCAATACGGGCGCCGCACGCTCTAAGCGGCCACTCGCGCGCACGCGCCCGCTCGTTCGGTGACAGTCTCCGCCTCGACGCTGCGCGCGATGCCCGGATCGCCAAAAGGTGTTTGTGTGTGCTTTTGTGTGTTGTGTGTTGTGTGTTGTGTGTCTTGTGTGTGCGTGCGTGTGTGTGCGTGCGTGTGTGTGTGTGTGGTCTGCGTGTATGTGTGGGAGTGGGTGTATGTGTGGGTGTATGTGTGGGTGTTGGTTTGCGTGTGCGTGTGCGTGTGCGTGTGTGTGTGCTTGTGCGTGTTGGGCGTTTGTGTGTGAGTGCTGCCGTGGGTGGCCAGGTGCTCATCCGAGATTGGTTGGGCAAGGACGAGCCGGACGAGGAGAAGCCCGCTGGTCGGGCGGACGGTCACGGGGGGGGGGGCAGTAAACGCAGGGGTGCAGAGGCTTACCAGGGAACTCGGCCCCACAGGAGCTCCAAACAGCTCTTACAACTCCCCTCGAAATCAAGCGCGAGTTTTTGATGCAGACCGACGCGCGAAACGCGGTCCGCGGGGTCAGAGTGTTGCGTGCTGCAGTCGCCTGCTTCTGCGCGAGTATTGAAAGATTTTGGGGTCTTAGGGCGCCGCCGCGTCGCGGGATAATCTCCCGTTTGATCTCGAGGGGGGATGTAGATAGATTGCCGGCCCAAAGGTCGGGTCGGGCGAAAGGGGGGATTGGGAAAGGGGGGGTTACGAAATTTGCTGCATGCACCTGGTTTCGGCCCCACCGAGGGGCCCATTCCTCGATACATAGCCGCCTCCGGCGCTGGGAGGCGCCGGGAAAATCAGCTACGTGAGCTGATTCTCAAACCCCCCCTTTGCTATCCCCCCCTTACGCCCGACCCGACAAAGGGTGCACGAAGGGCGCAAGTTTCTCCACTCCGCGTTTACTGCCCCGCCGTTCAGCGAGCACCCGAGAGGACAGGGAGGGGATCCAGCCCGCAGCAGGCGGCGCGCACAAAAAAGCTGGCCCGGCGCAAGGGCGCCGGCCTCCCTCTGAGCAGTCTTCGGGAGGAGCTCCGTGTGAGGCTGGGGTCTTCTCGGAAGCCCCCCCGGCTCCTCTTCCTCCTCCTCCTCCTCCTCCTCCTCCGGCTTCTGCAGTCAACCCGCAAAGTAAGGATGAGCAACCTTTCCAAGGGTGCCCTTGCATCCTTGCCTCCCTGGTCCATCTTTGGCCACTTTCGTTGGCCGCGCCCCGCCCGAAAAGCATCGAGATAGACGTCCAAGGCCCTTGCATCCTTACCGCGCATCCTTGTTCAAGGGAGTAAAAACCACCCGGGCCCGACAATTGACATTCCTTGGGCGTTTACTAAACAGCCCTTTCCTGTTTTCTTCCCTGGGTCCCTGGGTGCGTTTATGAAACGGCTTCGCTTGTCGGGGTGATTCCAGTATTATGGGGGGGGGGATGTTCTGCCCTCTACAGTCAAAAAACCTAATAAGGACGCGCGACGTTGCTCAGGGTATCCTTGCGTCCTTGCTCTTCCTTGCTCTTGCGTCCTTGAGGTTTTTTCGTCGTCCGCCGCCCCAAACATCCCAGCTTCGGCTTCCAAGGGTCTTGCGTGCTTGCCGCGCGTCCTTATTAGGGTTTTTGATTGTACTTGTGATACGAAACAACTTCTAAGAAGCCGCTCCCCACCTTCTGAGAAGCCCCCGTCGCCCGCCGAGAACATGTGGGGCCCCTCGCGCCAACGCCGTGCGCGCCGCCAGCCTTGGCATCGTGGGAACATCTCGCGGGTCTTACTTTGCCAGTTTGGTACTTCTGCGCTCACGCCGCGATCCCGGCCGAGTGAGTCCGCAACAGCAGGAATGTGGCGAGAGCTCCACTCGCGATTCTGTCGCGACGCTGTGATGTTTCACGGCGTGGACATCCAGGTTCTGACGTGTCTGCGACCGCTTGCGAACCGTACTCGTGCGGGTCAAACTGACGCGGGGGTATCGGACACCCCCGTAGGGGATCCTGTCTGTATCCTTCAGAATCTGAACCCCCGCTTGCTTCCAGGAGGGGCCTTCAGCATCTGCATCCGGGGGCCTTGCGAGGCCCCCCCACCTTAGCGAGAGCTCCCTCCCTGAGGGTTCACGGGCTGATGCAAGTGTCGAGGCGCCTAGGGGTTGCACGCCCACGGGGTCACGAGGCGTCAGGGTCAGAAGCCTTCCAGGTCACGCGCTGGTCCTCCTCCTCCTGCTCCCCCTCCTCCTCCTCCTCCTCCTCCTCCTCCTCCTCCTCCTCCTCCTCCTCTCTCTCCCTCTTCCTCCTCCTCCCTCCTCCTCCTCCTCCTCCTCCTCCTCCCTCTTCCTCCTCCTCCTCCTCCTCCTCCTCCTCCTCCTCATCCTCTCTCTTCTCCCTCCTCATGCCCGTTGTCGTAGCCATTTTGGCTCAAGATGCTTTGGTCCCATGGGCAAGAAACGGATATCGTTGGTCCGCGGATTGATTCCAAGAGTTTGCCTTGCGTGGGCCAGACTCACTGCTTTCTCAGTAAGATCCTGGAAGAGCAACAGCTTCCGTTGTCGGTTCTACTGCGACCGCAGTGCGTCGTCAGGATGGGAGGGAAGGGCCGCCCGGCGTACGCGTTGTGCGGCGCGTTTAGGATTTGGGAGTGGGATGAGAGCTTGGAGAAGCAGAAGGGCTACAGTCGGGGCGCTGAAGCAGAAACCCTTTTCGTCGGGGAGGGGCTCGGTGTTCCTTGACTGTTGTACAGTTTGCCTTGGGTTTTCCTTTCGTTTTCCATGGGAAATCAAAACTTAACTTATGTGAGCAAGGGGCCTCGTTCCTTATTTAGGCTTCCTTAGGTCAACGCCCCGACGGTACTGCCAGTGCGGGGAGTTCCTGGGATGCAAGGGTTATACCAGGCCGGGCCGCCGCGGCGCCGCTCCTGGGCCCGGCGCCTCTCGGGCGGCTCGGAGCCGGCGCCCCCGCCGACCGATCCCAAGAACAAATCGTGGACGCATTGGACATTGGAGGTGGCTCGTGGCGCCGCTCCCGCAAGCCTGCTCCGCCTCCTCCTCCTCCTCCTCCTCCTCCTCCTCCTCCTCCTCCTCCTCCTCCTCCTCCCATAAGGAGCTGGTGGAGCTGGTTAGGCCGAAGCCTGCGCCGAAGACTCCTCTCCCGAGCGAACGGCTGCAGCGGGCTACGATTGCCGTCCGAGGTGCGAAGCAGGAGCTGGCGCGCGCCTGCGAGGAAGCCGCTCGGGCGCGGGCGAAGTTGGCGAGGCTGGGCGCGAAGGTCGAGGAGGGCGTCCTGGCGGATGCGTTGGAGGCGGTGCCAGCCTCTGCAGCGCCTGGCGCCTGCTGTCGACAGCGGCCCCTCCCTTCCGCAGGTCATCGACTTCTCGATCGACCCCTGGGGTGGATGCCGATCTCCACGAGTACCCCGAGGAGTATCGCCAGCAGTTGGAAGCCTGCCGTGCGGCAGGCGCGGGCCACAGTAATCACCAGGCGGAGGTCCTCGCCATCCTGGAGAGGGACGAGACAACGTGGACTGCCACGAAGGCCGCCTTCAAGGAAGGCCAGCAGAAGGTGCTGGCGGTCAATGAGGTTGAGGAGGCGAAGCTGCGCGGCATGCTCCAGGTGCTCGCGCAGGCGCGGGCCCGCCACGACAAGAAAATCGTCGTGCAGGCGATGTCACGGCCATCGGCAGCACGGAGGCCGTGCCCCTGGGCTCCGCCCCAGACGCAGAGCTTGCAGGCGGGGCAACGCCTGCGACGCCGGCAGAGGATGGCGCCCGCGCCGAGCGCGAGCTGTCCGAGCAGGAGGCCGAGCAGCGGCGCGAGCGGCTGGCCGCCATCCGTGCGGATGCAGCTCGTGCGCATGGGGCGGCCGCCGCGTGTGGCAAGGCGGCTGCCGCGGCGTCCTCTGCTGCTGCGCCTGCTGCTTGGGGCTCCGCCTGCTGCGGGAGGCGGCGCGTCTGGTGCGGACCGGCCGTGCGGGCAGTGCCCTGGCGCTTCGCTGCCGGCGAAGTGCCTGGTCGAGCGGGGCGCGCACCGCCCCAGAAGCAGTCCAAGGACGGGCCGCGCGGAAGTGGGGCCCCCAGTCTGCGAAGTCCTGGAACGAGCACGCGGACTCCTCCGTGGTGGCGGGTTGCTGCGAGACCCCTGTGGACGCCGCCAGGCAGAGCCAGGCCATGCTGGATATAGCGAAGGCTGGCTGGAACATAGCGAAGGCTGGTTGGAAGGCATTTGCGACGGAGGCCTGGCCTTCGGCGCGGTCGGAGTCGAGGACGCGGGGGGGCGAGCTCGTCGCGGCCCTCGCCCACGCCGCGGCCACGACGTTCGAGCATTTGCGCCGTGTTTCTGGAGCTTCTGGCGTCGACCCGCTATGCGGATTTGCGCCAATGGCGGGGCACCTCCGCGGAGGGAACTTGGTGGTGTCGGCTTACATGTTCCAGGGTCTCGGCGTCCGCGGGGCCACTCAAGAGCAGTATGCTGCTCTGGGGGCGTTCCCACAGGGCTTGCGGACCCGCGTGTGCTTCTGCCCGGCTGGAACTTGCCGAGCGCGGAGCTGATTCGCACAGGCTATCCGGAACGCGTAGGCGGACAGGTAGTGCTCCCGTATGCACTTGATGCGACGTGCTTCAAGGGTGACGGTAGCCTCATCGACCATGCGTTGGTGGCCCAGGATTTCATTGCCGGGATGGAGCTCGAGGCGGTCCTCGAGGTGCCGTGGAAGGCGCAGTGCGGCCTGGGCGTCCGTGTCCTGACGCAAGGAAGGCCTGGCGGAGGCAGCAGTTTTTGATCGCGCTGCTCTTGCCGATGCCTCCACGGCTTCGGAAGCAAGTCGTCCACGCGGAGGGGGCGGCACAGTTGGCGCGACGGAGGGCTCGTCTCGAGCTGGACAAAGCGCCAGTAGCTTCCGCTCTGTATATTTTCAACGTCTGTTGGAGATCTGGGCTGCCGCCGCCGCCGCCGCCGCCGCCGCCGCCGCCGCCGCCGCCGTCGTCGTCGTCGTCGTCGTCGTCGTCGTCGTCGTCGTCGTCGTCGTCGTCGTCGTCGTCGTCGTCGTCGTCGTCGTCGTCATCGTCGTCGTCCTCTGGTCTTGGCCGGCGCGTTGGCCCTGCCGCGCCGGCGCCCCCGCCAGGAGCTCGCGCGGGTGTCGTCGCTGCTGGACGGCCGCGGCCTCCGCTGCTCCCCTCGGGCCCGCGCGGCCGTGCGGCGGAGGCCCAGAGTGGAGCCAGCCGGGGGGCTGGGGTGGCGCAGCCCTGCGGTGCGGTCGGAATCGGTGCGGCAGGTTCGTGCGGCGATGGCGCGCCGGCGGCGCCAGCGAAGGCGTTCGAGGCTGAGTTCTGCGTCGCGGAAGCGCCGAGGGGCGCGGTGACGCCGCTGGACCCGGCCGAATTCAACCTTGAGCGATCGGGGCCGGGATTGATTCAAGGATGAACGATCGACGCGGTGTCAAAAACCTGTGCGCGCGCCGACGCCGCGCGAACCTACCGTACGAAAGTTGGTGTACTGTGGAGGCCCATGCCAAGAACCACCCTGCTCGCCTCCAGGGTGCCCTGGGTTTCTTGGGTTTCTTGGGTTTCGATGGCTTTGCGATGGAGAGCACGACGTTCCTACACAGCAAAAATCAGCGGGAGTCCTGGGGTCTCAGGGTTGGGTTTCTTGTGGAAGGTTTCTTGTGGACGGGCCTCCGCTGTAGAAGTGTGGCGCTTCAGTCTGGGCGCTTCCACAGGGGCCCTCACCCAGGGGAGCGTGGCGTACTCCAGCCTGGAAGCCTCTGGAGGTCGCCGGAGGCCCCACGAGATAGCTTCGAGGTGCAGCATATATCCCCACCCAGGGGGGTACATCGGCCAGTGGGGCCCAGCTAACGGTGGTGGGGATCGGGATCGGTTGGCTCAGGGACGCAAAGAATAAGGACGAAGATCGATGTCAGTTCCGGCCCTCTCCGAGCAGGGATCGTTGTTGGCGCCGCCGCGGGTGTTGTCCACTCGAAACAGGGAGGCGCCTGCCCAAGAGCGGCCGCTGTCGGACTTGGACAGCATTTGCTCTTGGGCATTGTAGGGTCGACCCGAGGCATCAGATCGCGGTCGGCTCGGGAAGTATACCCTCATGCTCTTCGTGTCTGCGTCGGACGGGCCGCATCGAGGAGGAGGAGGAGGAGAAGGAGGAGGAGGAGGAGGAGGAGGAGGAGGAGGAGGAGGGGGAGGAGGAGAGGAGGAGGAGGAGGAGGAGGAGGAGGAGGAGGAGGAGGAGGAGGGGAGGAGGGGGAGGAGGAGGAGGAGGAGGAGGAGGAGGAGGAGGAGGGAAAGGAGGAGGAGGAGGAGGAGGAGGAGGAGGAGGAGGAGGAGGAGGAGGAGGGGGAGGAGTTGGAGTCGGACTGGATCGACCGCGCCAGAGTGGCCCGAACCCACTGCGGGCGAGCTGAGCACTGGTTGCGGCCAGCGGCGCTGGGCGAGCAGGGGCCCTCTCGTCGCCACGGCCCGGGCGCGGCTCGAGCAATTATAGCGTGTCTGGGCCTGGGAGGTCCGGGGGCCGATTTTGATCGGAGTTGCCTGCGTCCCCCTCTTGGCCGACTTTCCCGGGAGTCATCCAGCTCAGCCGCGCGCAGAGGAGGGTAATTTATAGGGGGAGGGGGGAGGGCTGCGTATAGCGGGAGGCCGCCTCCTGGAAGGCGCGGGCCCTGTCTGCAGATGGGAGGCCCGCGCCTTCGGAGAAGCGGCTTCCTTCTAAGGAGCTTTCCCCCCTCCCACGAAGCGTGTGAGGGGTGCAGAACTCAGGCGGAGGCGCCAAGAGATGGTTTCTCTGTCTTCGCGCGCGTAATGATCGTTACCCAGCCCCCCCCCCTGGGTGACGGTAGCGATCGTACTTGGACTTGGGGGTGGGTTTGGAACCCCACCCCAATGCTGGTGCTCGCGCGCATACTACGACGATCGCAGCGCACCCCATGGCCCCGATATGCCGTATGCCCCACCCCACCCCGCCTGGGCCTTACTGTTACCGCCCCCCCCTCCGCGGGGTAATGACCGTCATCCGAAATAGCAAGAGGCACGCGAGGCACGCGTGCCAAGCAACGGGGGACGGTGATGGCGCCAGGCTCTGCTAGATGCTAGAATCGGGGGAGCGCGCGAGTGCTGCACACGCCGGCGAGCGACCGTGACGAGGCAGCGACGAATTGCGGCCCTCTGCCAACTCGTCGACAAGCGTCGTCGACTTGGCACTGCCGCCAGAACCGATTCGGGGAGGCCAGGGCAGGAGGAGGCCAGGGCCGGGGAGGCGGGGCCCCAGGGCCAGGCCAGGGAGGCCACGAGGGAGGCCAGGGCAGGCTTCAGATCTCAGGAGGCGAAGAAACACACAGACACAATTAACCGTCGATTCCCCAGAAAATATGGGAAACTATGGGAAGTGGGGGTGAAGACAAAAACGCAGAACGTATGGGAAAATATGGGGAATCCTGTTATTTGTGTGTGTATCTATTTGTGTGTCCAAGGGCCCCTTCATGATCAAGATGATGAAAGCAATTCAGGCGCCTCAGACATCAGAAGTCTACTTTCCTCAGAAGTGGAACATCTATCAGCATAGCTTTCTGAGACGGTCGACTCCCTCGACGACGAGACGTGCAGACGGAGAGCAGCTCGAGCGTCATTTCGAACCCTGCCAAAGCAAACATGAATTCGACGAGGAACTGGGTTTTGCGTGAGGCCGAGAAGAAATGAGAGGCCCGGATCCCTCGCGGGACAACGAATGCGACGAGAACTGAGCTCTGGAGGGCGCGGCCAGGGAGGCCAGGGCTGGTGGGACGGGGTCCCTGGGCCAGGGCAGGGAGCCCGAGAAAGAGGCCAGAGGGGCCGGGGCAGGAGGAGGCCTGGGCTGGGGAGGCGGGGTCCCCCGGCCAGGGCGGGGAAGCCGCCAGGGAGGCCCGGCTCAAGGGGGAGCCAGGAACGACGAACGGCACGAGGAGGCGACGAAATGATGCAGTGCGAGATCACACTGGCAGGTATGATAAGAAGAACACTATCTCCAAGCGGACTTTGCCACTTGGGTCTTCGGTGGAGCACACCGGGGCCACGAAACGTGTCAGAGGTGTAAAACGTCGCAATGCGGACTTTGCCTTTGGGGCTTTCGGTGTGACTCCTGGTGAGGCCACGAGCCGTGTGAGGGGAGTGCCGTACAGGGCGCAGCGCCGCCATGCGGTCGCGCATTCTGGGCCCTTCGATGGCGGTGCGAAACTGGTGAGGGCCGTTCAGGGAAGAAGACGGCGCCGCTACACGGTCGCGTCCACTGAGCCATTAGCTGGGACACCCTACGGGCCACGAGTCGTGTGAGGGGGTGCCGAAATTTTGGGCGCCCCCTGCCTGTGCCGACCCCACTCAGGGCCCAGGGTAGGAAGAAACACCCCGACCCCCGCAAATGGCGTTCACTAAGCAGCCCTGCGGAGTTGACCAAGCAGTCCTGCCCTCTTCCCCATCCCTGCCGCGCGTGCGTTTGCTGAAGGGCTTCGCGTGTCGGGGTGCTTCTCATGAGGGTGTTTGGTTTCCTCTCCTGTTTTCCAGACGCGACAAGACGGCGCAGTGGAGGCGAGCTTGCCTGCTTTGTGCGCCGCGTGTTTCTACCGCCGCTTCTCCCACGTGCTCGTCGCGCTGTGCTGCTTCTGCTCGTCCTGGTCCATCCCCGTGCGCAAGGGGGACGGACCAGGTTGAGCAAACGTTGGAGGAGAGGGAGGGAGGGAACTGGAGGAGGGGGAGGGAGGAATGCTTCCTCCCTCCCCGTCCCTCCAGCTTCCCACCCCGTTTCTCCCCTGCGTGCGTCGTCTTCGTCGTCGCCACCCCCCCTCGTCATCCGGCCTCGCAGTCTCCGTCCTCGCGGCCGCCGCCGCCACCGCCGCCGCCGCCGCCGTCGTCGTCGTCGTCGTCGTCGTCGTCGTCATCGTCGTCGCCGTCGTCGCCGTCGTCGTGGCGCTGTGGCGCTGCGGCGCCCGCAGGACGCGGTCCTCGCCGAGGGCGCGGCCGGCCCGCAGGCTCCCCGCGGCCGCCGCTCTCCGAAGCCCCCCCCGGGCGCACGGGCGGTGCGTCCCGCAGGCTTCGCTGCCCTGGTGCGGGGAGGAGGAGGAGGAGGAGGAGGAGGAGGAGGAGGAGGAGGAGGAGGAGGAGGAGGAGGAGGAGGGAGGAGGGAGGAGGAGGAGAGGAGGTGGAGGTGGTGGAGGAGGAGGAGGAGGAGGAGGAGGAGGAGGAGGAGGAGGAGGAGAGGAGGGGGAGGAGGGGGAGGAGGAGGTGGAGGAGGAGGAGGAGGAGAGGGAGGAGGCCCTTTTCCGCGAGGCCATTTCTGCCAGCAGGAGGCTTCGGTGATCTCCGTGTGGAAACGCAGCGCGTACCCATCGGTCGTTGCAAGTAGCTTTTTCGGGGGGGCTCCCAGAGCCCGGTCTGCTTCCAGCGCCTTCCTATTTCACGAGTTGACATGCTTTTGCTGCGTGCTGTTGCTCGTCTGGGTGGGCCCCGACCCAATCTACTCTGTCCGCCGTCCGACTTCAAGTTTCTACCTACTTCTTCCGACCGATGAGTACCGTGGTCAAAACGTCCGTCGCTTCCAGTACGGTGGGGGCGTTCGTTAAGGAATGTGCCATGGAGGCTTCAGACCCTGGGGGTTCCTTACTTAGGCGTAACGAAAGTTTCCTTGGAAACGCGGAAGACCTCCAGACGACCCAGACAGGATGCCTAGGCGGCCCCATGGCCCCAAGATGGTTCCACGACGGCCTCAGACGGGCACGACGATGACCTCGGGCCGACCCCAAGAAGACCCCGTGGCCCCTGCAGGATCCAGACGCAGCGTCGAAATGGCCTGGGGGCAAATCCAAGATGGCCCAAGATGTGAGCGATGCCCCGGAGACCAGACGCGGTGGCCCCGGAGCGACCCCGAGGTGGCAGGAGCATCCCGAGAGTGCAACACCGTAATCTTAAGATGACTTCGAGATGACTTCAAGATGGCCCGAACACGTCATACATTGGCGGGAGTGGGTCCACCGCGGGATTTGTCCGGACCCCATTTTTTGTTGGGTGGGATTTATGGTTGGCCGGACTAAAGCTATATTATTCAAAAGGGGGAACTACTCGCCAAGGATCCCGCCGAGACCCCGCAAGAACAACCCCATCGGGGGCCGTCGGCAAGGGGGCTGCGAAGTAGGTGAGCACACAATGCCATCGGGCCTAATTCAGAAAATTCAGCGAACTCTCGGAGCGGCGATGTATCTGATGAGGGCGGCGATGTTGTCCATGACGCAGCCTCACTCGGCGTTCCCCTGGCTTCCAGACCCTGGATTCCTTATCCAAGGGTTCCTTCTCCACTGCCCCCACCGTGCATGCTCCTTGGTACGCACACGAAGTCCTTCATGGCCTGAGTGTAGCTCCCCTCTCGCCCTCGGCCCCTCTCGCCCGCGCCCCGGCGCGCCTCCCCTTCCCTGCCTGCTCTGCCCCGGCGCGCCCCGCCGGTGTTGGACCGCCGTCTGAGTCTCTTGCGGCCGCCGACCAGCCGACGTTCGAAACGTCCGTGTTAGCACGCTGCGTGTTGGCTCGGCGCGTGCTGCCCACGTTTGGACGCGCGTATCTTCAGGAAGGAAAAAACAAACAGACACAATTAATCGTCGATCCCCCAGAAAATATGGGAAAATATGGGAAGTGGTGGGGAAGACAAAAAAACAGGAAATATAGGAAAATATGGGGAATCTTTTTATTTGTGTGTATTTATTAGTGTATCCCAGGGCCCCTTCAGTATCGCGCCATGCCTATGTCTTCGATCTCTGGCCGAGCGAGCATCGCCGGGTGCCCCGCAGGCCTGTCGGACGCAAGCCGGGCCGCGTCGGGCAGCTGAGCTGCCACCCCAGCAGCAGGAGCAGATTTAAGTGGGGCGCGTCCGTCAACAGGAGGAATACAGTCGGGGCCCTGAAGAAGGAACCCTTTTCGTTGGGGAGAGGCTCCGTGTTCCTTGATTGCTTCACAGTTTGCCTTAGGTTTTCCTTAGGTTTTCGATGTGAAATCGAAGTTTAACTTATGGAAAAAGCGGCCTCGCTCCTTATTTATCGTTCCTTAAGTCAAGGCCCCGACTGTATTCAATAATAGCTCAAGAACAATACTGGGGCGATGTTTCGTGCTCTCTTGACTCTGATGACTCTTTGCTGGATCTTATATCATTTATCGTTCAAGATCCGCCTGTAGGAGGACTTGCCCGACCTACGAGCAGATACTACTCGGATGGGAGGCACTGTAGAACTGTTTCTTGAGGTTTGCGCCCCTCGACGAGGTGCACCGACGGCTGTCAGGTGTGGCGAGGTAGCTCCGTGCCAGCCGTGGGGGGGGGAGGGGGGCGTTTACAGCGTTCCCTCCGCCTTTGCTTCAATAGTCCACCCGCCCGCCTTTGCGTGCGCTTGGCCCGAGGACTTTGGTGGCGACCGAGCGTAGCCGCGCTCGGACCGCGCGCCTCTCTCGACCGCGCGCGCATCGTTCTCCAGTGCTGGAGCTCACTTATCCGGCGCCATCGAGGATGTACAGGTGAGGGGGTCCCGTGAGCTAGGAGAGGAATGCGAGGATCGAGCTCATTCGTCAGGGAATGTTGACTATTCGACGAATGACAAGGAAGATGAGGAGGAGGAGGATGCGGAGGAAGAGGCCGGGGAGGCAAGAATTCGCGGGGTGTCAGAGGCCAACAACATGGAAGTACGACGGACGCGGTCATTTTCCGCTGGTCTGCGTGTGATCGCGATCACGTGTGCGCAGCGGGGCCACGCAGAGCTTACACGTATTTGCACATATAAGTATATGGACATGTAGGTGTGTTGATACAGATATATATTTTTTTATATATATATAAATATATATATATATATATATATATATACACATATTCGCCAATCAGAGCTTGCATCTGTAGGGGTCCTAGCGGATTCATATGGTTAGGTGAGGTTTGCCACCGGTTTCCGCGGCTCGCCCGAGTGCCCGGGTGCCCAGGTGCCCGGGTGCCCGGGTGCTTTACAGCCCTAGAGCCCTATAGCCTTATAGCGCTATAGCCTGATAGCCGTATAGCCCTATAGCCCTGTAGCATTATAGCCCTACAGCCCCATAGCCCAATAGCCCTATAGCCCTATAGGCCTACATCCCGATAGCCCCATAGGCTTATAGCATTATTACCCTATAACCCTATAGCTCTATCTGCCTGTAGCCCTATAGTCCCATATCCCTATAGCCCTGAAGCCCTATGGTCCTATAGCCCTATAGCCCCATAGCCCCATGGAGCCATAGCCCCATGGCCCTATAGCCATATAGCCCCATAGCCCTATAGTCCTACAGCTCTATAGCCCTACATGCGTATAGTCCTATGGCCCTATAGTCCTATGACTCTATAACCCATATAGACCTATAGCCCTATGGCCCCATAGCCCTATAGTTCCATCGCCCAACAGCCTCATAGCCCTATAACCCTACAACGGCGTTGTACTGTGTTGGTATCATGCATGTATGTAGATACGTATGTATGTATGCATGAATGTATGCCTGTGTGTATGTGTATGTGTGTATGCATGCATGCATGTGTGTATGCGTGTGCGCATGTCTGTGCATATATATACACGTGTAGATGCAGGTGTAGGTGTTTATGTGTATGTGTGTGTACAGGGAATTGTATATGCACTTGTCTATGCAACTGTTATTTTCATATATGTATATGTGTATGTATTGTTGTGTGTATGTGTGTATGTAACGGTATACGCACTTGTAGTTTCATAGATACATAAGCACGGGCATGTATATGTAGATGTATGCGTATACGCATTTGTATAGATGTCCAACGCCATCCACTGCATATGTAGTTGCTTACGTATATGTATATGTATATGCACATGCACACGTACACTTAAATGTATGTGTATGTGTATGTGTGTATAGGTGTCGGTACGTATATGCATATGCACACATACATATGTATAGTATTGTATATGAGTATATGCATTGCCGTATACGTGCGTCCGTACGTGTGCGCGTGCGCGCTTGTGTGTGTGTGTGTGTGTGTTTGTGTGTGTGTGTCTGTGTCTGCGTGTGTGTGTGTGTGTGTGTGTGTGTCTGTGTGCGTGCGTGCGTGCGTGCGTGCGTGCGTGCGTGCGTGCCTCTGTGTGTGTGTGTCTGCGTGTGTGTGTGTGTGTGTGTGTGTGTGTGTTTGTGTGTGCGTGCCTCTGTGTGTGTGTGTGTGCGTGTGTGTGTGTGTGTGTGTGTTTGTGTGTGTGTGTGTGCGTGCGTATCTTTTCCCGCTCGACGGGGCGGGGGGGGGGGCGAGCAATGGGAGAGAGACGGGGAGGGAGGGAGGAGGATGGACAGGAACAAGAGGACGAGGAGGAGCAGGCGCGCGCGACCACGTGGGGACCCTACCCCCGCGGATCCACCTGGGCGCTGGGGCATCGGGCGCTCCCGGTGGGGTTCGCTTGGCTGCAGAGATCCTTCAGATTCTGAACCCCAGCCACCTTTTCCAGAAGTCCGACCCCCAGCCACCTCCATCCTCGGCTTTCACATGTGGCTGCCAACGGAGAAGGAGCAGGAGGAGGGAAGGACGGGAGGGAAGGGAGGACGAGGAGGAGGAGGAGGGGGCATGATGATGAGGAGGAGGAGGATGAGGAGGAGGAGTAAGAGTAGGACTAGGAGGATGAGAAGGAGGAGGACCAGTGTAAACCCAAGACGCATCAACGATGTTGCAATACACCCTCCTTCCGAGCTCCCTCGCCGCATGTCCCTACATCAGTTTGTTCATTGCGGGAATTGCCCCAGTGAATGACAACCGTCCGAAAATCCACAACCGTACCAGAAGGCTGTTCCTGGGACTTCAAAGCCACACATCACCTTGACTATTGCTTCCTGACAGTCCTACATCACGCCAGGACGCTTCCTGGGATTCGACACTGCCAATCAAAACGCGTGTTGCGCCCTGACACCTAAGTAGTGCAAGAGCATCACTTCTGGAATTAAACCCGACGAGTCTTCGAATATGCTGCACACTGTTAAGGCGAATGCGTGCGGCGCTAAGGCGGGAACCGCAGTTTGACAAGGAGCCGCCCTCCATCTTCGATGTACTTCAAACTTTTGAGACGAATGTGCTCGGGGCGATGGCGAGAGCCACATGCTGTAAAGGAGCAGCCCTCCATGCTTGAATCGGTTGCAACCGTTGAAGGCGAATGTGCACGGCGCCAAGACGAGGTCCAAATTTTGCAATTCACCCACCTGCCATCATTGAAATTGATGAGAACTTCGAAGACGAAAGTGCGCGGCGCTCAGGTGAGAACCACAGTTTGAAAAGGACACGATCACCATCCTTGCAGCTGTTGCAGATTGCGCGCTTCATTACCATAATTGATGAGGGAGCCTCAGGCAAAACGCCCGGCCCGCCTTATTGACACGTCGGAGGGTGCCACAGGGAGGCTTCTGAGGAAAAGGTATGGAGAAGGAGAGGACAAGGAGCAGACGACAAGGAGGACGAGGATGAGGAGGAGGAGGAGGAGGAGGAGGAGGAGGAGCAGGAGGAGCAGAAGGAGGAGGAGGAGGAGGAGGAGGGGGAGGGGAGGAGGAGAGGAGGGGAGGAGTATGAGAGGAGGAGGAGGATCAGAGGGAGGGAGGAAGGAGGAGGATGAGGATAATAATGAGGCTGAAGGCGGATGAGACGAAAGGAGAGGAGACTGAGGAGGAAGAGGAGGAGAGGAGGAGGAGGTAGGAGGGTTGGGGAGGAGGAGGAGGAGCAGCAGGAGGAGAGGAGAGGAGGAGGAGGAGGGGGGAGGAGGAGGAGGAGGAGGAGGAGGAGGAGGAGGAGGAGAAGGAGGAGGAGGAGGAGGAGCAGGAGCAGGAGGAGCAGGAGGAGGAGTTGGGTACAGAGGAGGACTGGCGGGAGGAGGGCGGCGGAGGAGAGCCCGTCCGCCGGCCACAGGCAGACTACGCGTCGGCGATCTCGCGGCTGGTCCCCGGGTGCGCACGACCTTTTTTCCGACGACGATGACGACCACGGCGCCGCGGACGAAGACGACGGCGCAGCCGACGAAGGCGTCGGCGGAGCCGACGAAGATGCCGGCGGCGGCGACGGCGGCGGCGACGGCGGCGACGGCGGCGACGGCCACAATGACGACGACGACGAAGGCGTAGCAGCTAAGGCCACGGCGACGGAGGCGACGATGCCGGCGGAGATGCAGACGACGATCACGGCAACGGCCGCGACGGCCGCGACGGCGGCTGCTAAGCCGACCACGGAAGCAACGACGGGCGGTGGCGTCGACGGCGACGGCGGCTGCGACGACGAAGACGACATCGGCGGCGGCGACTGCGACGGCGTTGGTGTCGGCGGCCTTTGACTCCGAGGGGAGAGCGACCCTGTTGCACTGACTGCTGTTTCGCGGAAGAGGCAGTTCGGTTTGTTGACCGTTCTAGGGGCCGCGTGGGGGGACTCGAGAGGCGCCCGGGGGCCCAAAGAGGGCCCGCCTCTCCAGAGACTCGAGGATAACGAGTCTGAGTTTTTGACAAATTTGGGCCTCCAGAGGCCAGTTTCGTCCTCTGGGGCTGCCAAGGATTTTGTTAACGACGAGAAGCTGGTCGACTGGGGAAGGGCCGAGAGGTCCGGGGCAGAAGGCACCCGGGGGGCGAGAGAGGAGGAAGACCGAGGCAGCATGGAGTAGCAGTCGATGGCCGAATGACCGATCGGCAGAGCGGTTTGAAAGTGGGAGAGGAGCGCAAATCGCAAAACAAAACACGACACAAACATACATAAGCTTTTGGTACTCCGCGCGGATTTCTTGGATCTGCGCTGGGGGGCCCCCGGCGGCGCCTCCGGCGCCGCCCCTGGCGCGCTCCGCGCGCCTGGGAGGGGTGGTCCAGCGCAGATACAAGAAGAAGTCCGCGGGGAGCGCCAAAAGTTTATGTTTTTGCAGTTTGGTCTTCTTCTGTCAAGGGTCAAGTCGGGCGTGTCCCTCTACAGGAGGGATATCCAGAATTAGTCAAGGGATAGTCAGGGGACGATTCTTCTAGTATTTTTTGACTATTTGTGACTATGTTGTTCACTATTTTGCATCTTCCGTCCACAATCCGCCTGTACGGGGACAGTCAGGAGGGACAGAAACACACAGACACAATTAATCGTCGATCCCCAGGGAAGTATGGGAAGATATGGGAAGTGGGGGGGGGGGGGGGAATACAGCAAGCCAGAAAATATTGGAAGAAATATGGGGGATATATTTTTGTTTGTGCGTATTTGTTTGTGTGTGTCCTGGGGCCCCTCCAGACAGGCCCGACCTACACCGATCCCCGAGCCCCACCCGGAGCGCCTCAGCCCCGCCGTGCGGCCTGCCCTGAGCCGTGGGCTGTGGGCGGGCGCGCCCGCGGGCGAGGGCAGAAGCACGCGGCAGCACGCGGCGGAGGGCAGGCACGGCCTCGCGCGGAGGCCTCCCCCTCGGAGGCCTCCCGGAGGGAGCCTCCTCGGAGGCCTCCCGGAGGGAGCCTCCGCCAGGATCGGTATCGTTTAACTAATCCCCATCCCCATCCCCATCCCCTTCGAGCTGTGGGCGGGGGCGGGCGCGCCCGCGGGCGATGGCAGAAGCACGCGGCCGAGGGCAGGCACGGCTTCGCGCGGAGACTTCCCCCTCGGAGGCCTCCTTCCGGGAGCCTTGCGGGCAATAGTTAGATCCACATTCAGTGCGTCTAGGAGTTTTGGGCCCTCTTCCCCAGAAGCCGGAGGCGCACTGGATGTGGATAAACATCTGGCCCCCAAAGGCCAGATTTTTATCCATATCCAGGGCGCTTCGGCCTTGCGGCACCCCTTCCCGAAAAGTCCAAGGCGCCCAGGATATGGATATAAGTATTGCCTGCAAGCCGCCCTCGGAGGCCTCCCAATCGTTTAACCAATAATCCCCATCCCCATCCCCATCCCCTGCGAGACCCCTGCAACATTGCCACCCGAGCTGGGGATACACCCCTCGAGACCCGAAGGGGACGACCTATACCCCCGTCTAAAGGATGGTAGATCGGCCAGTGGGGCCCAGGCCACGCCGCTGGGGGTGGGGATCGGTTACACGATACTCACAGGAGCCTCTCCTTCAGGAGCCTCCCCCGAGGAGCCTTCCTCGGGGCCCTCTCTCGGGGGCCTCCTTCAATAGGAGCCCGCCTCGGGAGCGGGAGGAGGCCGTTCCGGATCGAGGCGCCGGCCCCCCCCCGACCTTCCCGCCGGCGCGCAGAGACCTGGCGAGAGGGGCGGCGCAGAAGAGAGGACCCGCTCGGGCGCTGCAGGCTGGTGTTGCGGCGTGAAATCGGGCATGTCCCTCTACAGGAGGAGAATGTTCACGAATAGTAGAGAAATAGGCTGGGGACGTTTTATTATTATTATTATTATTATTATTATTATTATTATTATTATTATTATTATTATTATTATTATTTTATTATTATTATTATCATTATTATTATTAGTATGATTATTATTATTGTTAATATTATTATTATTATTATTATTATTAATATTATTATTTTTATTATTATTATGATTATTATTATTATTATTATTACATTATTATTGAATTTCCCCAGAAAAAAATTAAATCATATACACAAATTGTAACAATTTAGAATGTTCGTCCGAAATCCGCTTGAAGGAGGACGTGCCCAACCTAGTGCCACGGGCGGGCAGGTGTGATGGGAGCAGCCCGGGGCTCGAGCTGAACGGTGTCTTGCTTTCGTGGGCCGCTGTCGTCTTGATTTTCTCTTCGCAGCCAGGGCAGGGCGAAGACAGGACGATCGAAGGCGAACGAGGACACAAGGACAACGAAGAACACTGTTCAGCGCGAGCCCTGGGGAACAGCCCTAGCTTCGGATGGGGTGCCGTGCCCTGCCGAGCTCCTCGCATCCGGACTCTCCACCTCGGGAGATGTTCTTCGTTTCGGGGAGCGCCTCCGTGCCCTTCCGAGCTCTTCGTGCCTGGGCCCTCCACCTCGGGACCCGCTCTGCGCCTCGGTGGGGCCCGCTGGTGCCCTCGGCGAGGGGGCTCGCCCGCGCTCCCAAAGATCCGATGGTTCCCAACCATCCTCGCGCCCACTCCTCGCTTCGAAGGGGGAGCTTCGAAGGGAGATCCCCGCGTCCACTCCTCCTCCTCCTCCTCCTCCTCCTCC